ATGAAACATGTAGAACCTTTAAGTCCTAAAATGGAAAGCAGCTCTTTATGTTTTCCCTCTCTTGTAGTGCTGTGATTCTAAGATTGGTTTATTTGTGAGAATTTAATCAATGCATTCCGGACGAGGTATGAGCGGGTGTGCTTGACTAACGGTTGATTGGAGATGTCCTCGCCATCTCCAAAAGTATTCACATTAGTTACCAAATTTACTCAAAATGATTTTAGTATCATTTTAGAGCACCTTTCACTACAGCTCAAGCTACTGGACGGATAAAATTGAATACAGCGTCTTGGGAGGAGCAACTAGATTTGATTCACTAGAGACCAAGCTACCGACCTACTGGAACACACCCTTTTCAAAGATCTGTCTTGGTATGAAGATTGGGCAACAGCTCAACTTTATCGTCATCGAGAGGCAGGCTGACTCTCTGTACTCACTGATCGCTGACGGGCAATATCGCAACACATCACTGGGTCGTGAGAAGTGGAAATTGCTGATTGGTTCACAAGCCTCCTTACAGTACCATTGTGATAAGGAAGGGTTCAACGCTGTTTGTAGCTGGAGTGAAACGTCCAAAGCTAGAATTGGTATCTTGAGTAACAATGAAGATCTTTGCTCCAGTTGTGATTCCAGAATCGGCTTTGGGACGGGAGGGACTCCAGATGATTCGAACACATGCGGAAACTCCGCAGTGTACCTACCAGATAACAGTAATAAACTAATCAAGGCCATGGGATATATCTTGGTTCAGTGACATGTACACGTCGAAAAAAACGCTTTTTTAGCAATATAAATAATTAATGTTAAGGCGATCTTCGTATTCATTTCATAATTTGCGGTTTATATATATGCTATTTATTTATTCACAGTCATTTATTCATCACTTCACAGATTTACTACGAACCAAAATAATGACTAGCTCTCAGTTGGCTTGTTAGTTCAGTTGGTAAAGCACTGCACCGGTGCCGTACGAACTTGAAATTTTTTCAGGCATTATTGTTACTACTGCTTGAGTACTGCTCATTACTGTGAAGATCGCTTTCGTATTTATTTCTTAATAAGCAGTTCATATACATGATTTTCATTTATTCATACAGTCAGTGTAGAATT